AATTGGCCGGGGGGTCCTGCTGGCCCCCAGCACTGTCCTCACCCCCTCGTGCCACCCTGGCACAGTCTCCTGTCCCCAGGGACGTGGGACCCTCGGCCCTGGCCGTGGCCACATGCCCGTGGATGTCTCTGGGTGTGCCTCTTGCCTCATGTCTCCCATCCCCAGGTGTCCCTGGTCCCCAGATGTCCTTGGGCACCCCTGGATGTCCCCATCACCTGGTGTCTCTGGGTGTCCCCATCTCCTGGGTGCCTGTGTATGTCCCACTCTCCCATGTGTCCCTGACTGTCCCCAGTTCCACAGGCACTTGTAGCCATCCCCCTGTCCCGAGTGTCCTCTGGTGCCCCAGTGTCACCTGTTTGTTCATGAAGCAGTAGATGATGGGGTTGTAGACGCAGGAGCTCTTGGAGAAGAAGGCAGGGATGGTGACCAGGCGCAGGTCCAGGCCGTGCTCGCGGTTGTTGACCATGTACATGGCGAGGGCAGCGTAGGGCACATAGCACAGGCAGAACGAACCCACCATCACCACCACCATGCGCGACACCTCCCGCTCTGCCTTCTGCGTCGTGGCTGACTCCTGCTGCTGTGCAGCCACCTGCACGGCATGGGACACCTCGGGCCTGCCCTGCTCCTGAGCCCCTTCCCAGCCCTACCTGGGCTGGGGGACCCCTGCCTGACTCTCCCTGGGCTGAGAGATCCCTGCCTGACCCCTCCTGGGCTGAGAGACCCCTGCCCAACCCTTCCCTGGGCTCCTGAGCCCCTCCCTGACCCCCTGCAGACCCCCTGCCCATGCACACATCTGGACTCCTTCCTGTGCTCCTGTCCAAGCAGCCTCCTCTCCCTCCCTCCCTCTTTCCTGCCCCTCATCCTGCCCACCCTCCACCCCTCCCTCTCTCCATCCTTTCTTCTCTCCTTCCTTCCATCTCTTCAGCTAACACTCCCACCCACTCTATCTCCCTAGTCATTTCTCCATCTCTCCATTCCTCCTGCAGATCCTCTCTCTGTCTCCATCCTGCCATCCCTCCCTCCTTCTTGTCGTCCTGCCCTTCATGCTTCCTGCTCTCCCATCCCCTCCCTTCATCTCTCCAACCCTCCTTTCCTCCATTCCCCCACCTCC